CACTAGGCCAACTTCCTGAACTTTTGGAAAAATTATTGTAACCACCAGTTTCCGTTTCGCCATGCAGGTTAAAGCAGTCTGATTCAACTTATGATATTCGTTTTATTCCAAAAAATTGAATGAATCTAGCGTTTCAGGTGCCTTGCTGTATTATGCATACTGTAGAATATATTTCCTTTTTCCACTTATTCACTTCATTCATGACGAATTCATATATCAATATATCCTAAAAGGCCTGAATCAGGTGAATCGCAGTTTCGTTTGACGGAAACAAATTTGAGATAATTTGAAACTATGATGAAAATGAGTTTACTTTTGTGTTTGTGCTCCGCGGTGCCCGACTCTACACGTCACTGACTTTACGGTGGAGATCTATAGAAATGAGGGGATATTGCGATTACTCTGTGTAGCCCCGGAATAATGAATTGTATAATGAATTGATCATATTCAAAATTACATTAGGGAAACAGCTAGTTATAAATATTGCAATATGTTGGTTTGATACAAAAGGCGAATTAAACTGTAGCTTCAGTATGTCGGTCGGTAGCAGCGCTGCAGCTGAGTTTCAGAGAACGTCAACGAAACTTAATTATCTGCAAGCAGTAGACATCTTGACTTCTCGTCCATACACCTTTTACGCTAGTCTTCTGCCTAGCCGCGACTGTTCGTCATATCTCTACACTGCACCAACAGGAGAGGGGACAGAACGAAGCCTTGGCGAGTGTCCCTGCCAACGCTGCCAACATATAGTGACTTAATGGCTAGTAGCAGCCGTCCACCGATCTGAGAAATTTGCAGGTTCATCCGTAGCTCGTTTCGCAGGATCCAGGCATAAACTTTCTCCAGGTCACCAGAAGATATGCAAGCCGGTGCCAGAATTTCTCAGCAATCTGACGTCAGACAAAGATCTAGTCACAGGTGTTTCGGCCTCAAAAGAAGCAACATTGCCATTTCTGTTGATTATAGTCAGTCGTTCTATGATATCCCATTTCCTCGAATTTTTCGGATGAATAAGGTATCTCCCAATGATTGGAGCACTCCCTATGGTCTTTCATTTTGAATGAAATTATTATTACTGATCACTCCTGTTCTCCAGTCTACTAGAATCTTCCATACTGTCATTGCGGTATTAAATATAAGATGCCCCTTTTTCTAATGTTTTGGGCATCTCGTGGGGAATTTATCGATTCCGCCAATTCTGCCACTTTTCAAGCGTTTATAGCTTCTGCGACATCGTCAGCGACTGAAAGATATCCACTGCCTGCCGCTATTGAGATTATTCAAAGTATTCTTCCCATCACTGAAGTACATTCGCTTCCTGGTTAAAATGATCTCCAGCTGTGTGCTTTGGTTTCCAAAGATTCATTCGTATCCTTTACAGGAAGCCTGCGCTGTTTCATGAGATTAATTTATGTTTACGCAGCAGG